ATACATGCAGTAATGTAGAATAATGTAAACTCTTGATTAAGAACACTTAATGCCTCCCCATTTGGATTATGTTTGCTTTTCTAGGAGCCTACTGTACGAGCCCTGAGCGGTGTAAGCTCAACTTTGAAGTTCAAGAGCGGTTTTACTTTTAACACTAATGGCAAGAATGGCCTTGTCCGCTCAAAAAAAACGCAGCTGTACAAGTAATCACGCTTGTACCTGGCCAGATAGTCTTTTTCTCGTTTGGGGTCCAGACCTTGGGCTCTTTGGTCCCTCTTGGTCCCTCTTGGTCCTTGGACTTGAGATCAGGGAGCTGAGTGGATAGAAGAAAGAATCCAGTTGAAAAGTGACGGGATCGAAGATGCGGACACCCGCAAGGCTGACCCGGAAGAGGAGGAGCTGAACCATCGGCTGAGGGAGGCCATGGCGAATGCAGAACCATGACTGAAATGAGAGCACCGGGAGGCGTAGACAATGTGGCTTTGTGAAGCTGCGCAAGCGTCCAGCGTGTCCACCAGAAATATTCTAGGGGAGAACCAAGAAACTACATGAAACTACAAGCCCTACACCGCACCCTCCCTTAATTCAACATCAAGAGTCTAGCTATATGCTGTATATTATATAAATGATGAAGCTACTCTGCTCCTAATTCCACGCGCTCTGGAGTTTTGGACAAATTAGACACCACAGAAAATTGGCAAGTGACTAGAGCTGCGAGACCCTGTTTCTGGAAAGAAGAGATATTGACCACCTGTACATCAGCAAAGGCAGGTGCGGGCTTTCTTCCTCACATTTGCTGGGCGTTTCCAGATCAAAGCCGTCACGTCCCAGAAAGGAAAGGCTCGACGCGACTTTTTCATGGGACTGTCAATGTATAGGCATTAAATTATATTACGTGTATGCTTTTCCATAAATGGAGTGTTTGGGATTGTTAAACTCATATGTGAACTCCTCCTTCAGGAGAGATGTGCAGAAGCTGCACTGAAGGAGGTGTGGCTTCGCGCGAAGCGGTGCAGTGCACTATTTCTCGATGCATGTTCGATGTTTGTTTGGGGGACATCCAGCCTTGCAAGTGATATTTTGAATTGATGCTCTCAGTTCAGATCGATTCACAGCGATTCCCTGACCCCCTATGGTTTGACATGAGTCGAGCTGCTTGGGAAGATCCGTCCGAAAACGGAATTCATAGCTTTCAAGCAACCGATGGATATATCCAAATGCTACCGACAGTGTTGCAACAACACTAGGGCCCCTCCTGCGAAACGGCCCAACGATCGATGGATCTCCGGTGGCTTTCGGTTTCGATCTCCTCGTCCCTCATCCGTCGCGACGGATCAATCAGGTCCCAGAGCTTGAGCACCGAAGTGACGAGCGTCAATCCCGCACTTGGGTGGCCAGAAGTCGCGTGACGGGGCGCGTGACGGTGGTTTGGGGTAACTGTGCCGGGTGTTCCACCGAAAGCTGACTGAAGAGTGGAAGACTGTGACTATTGCGAGCAGCTTTGTGGGGTTTCTTTGAAAGGATTGGAGTTTTTCGGGGGGGAGAGTGATAGATCTGGGGTATTCCAGAGAAAACCACCATTGAGCGAGCAAATACATATATTTAATATATTATATAATCATATATATTCAAGACAATTGCATTCCCCTTTTGAACAGCCTCGTTTGATTTGGAAGGTGGATCTTCACGAGAAACGCCCAGTCACGCCCACCGAGAAACCCACCGAGGTATCGATTTCACGGACTCCGAGATTCGCCTCCTGGTGGGAAACGATGGACGTTCGGTCAAGAGAAACACCCGAAGAAGCGTCGTAAACAAGCTACACGTAGCGTCCTTACTAGTAGCGATGGCCTTTGCTCCTAGTAGCTTCTTGCCGGTCGTGTTTCAACCAGGTGGACCTTCGTGGGTCGAAGAACTTGTGCTCGTTCTTTTGGGGGGGAGGGATGTCAGGAAGTCCATCAAGCTGCTTGCGCTGCTTGCCACACCCATTTGCAACACCTTGGCCTTGGATGTTTTGCCGAGCAGTCCACTCGCGAATAGTTGTCCGAGTTAAGCAGTTGGCACATTGTATGCATCTTTTGGTCTTTGTCCAATGATGCCAAGCTTCCAGCAGAGGTTTCTTTATGATCGACGAAGAAGGAGAGGCTGATGGAGACGCATACCAACGGCAGCTGAAGACCAAGGCCAATGTCCAATGCAGAACTTGTGGGAGTTGGACTCAGTTTCTTTCTTGCCCCAATTATGGGTAGTCCAGTTTGCTCACTTTGCAGCATGGACATGCATGGACTGCATTTGACATTCTTCAACTAATCGTGTGGAGCTCTTGAACTGAATTGCACGAGCATTCGATCAAGAAAGAAGCCACCTGGAGTCGCAACAAGAATCAGAAGAATGTGATATATATATATATATTAAAGGGCGTCTTGAATCCAGAGTACTGTAACAAGTGTTCTCACTTTTTGTCAGATGTGTCTCCCGTTGGATTCAGGCCTTCGATGGCCCTAGTGGCCACAGGGCCAGAAAGGCTAGCATTTGCTGGTGTGATGAGGTGCCACCAGCATCAGTTTTGCTCACTTGGGAGGTTCCTGCAACACATGTAGATGATGGGAGATGGAAGAAGTGTCAAACATCTTGGCTGACTGCACGTTGGAAGATCTTGTGCAACCTCTTAGCTCGTCTTTTTGATTTGGACCTGGTCAAACATAATTTAGCCCACTGCTTGCCACCTTTCGGGGTGCACGGGGGTGATTCCCACGGGCTTCCCACGCGGGAAACGGTTGATTTGGTCAGGATTCTGAATCGGAAAGTGAAGAAGATGATGACTGGAGGGAAAGATGCGATGAGATGGCAGCTGCTCGGTGTTTTGTGCCCTTGAGGGGCGCGACCGGGAGATACGACATACAAGGGACAGTTCATGATCAAATCAGCAGCGTCGTATGTGTTTACATTCTTGGCATGAGAAGGCACTCGGCAAGTTTTGGCACCCTTTGTCAATAGGATGCAGTCCTGACCGGCTCTCTCATTGCTTGTGAATCAAGGGTGTTTTGTCTTTAGACTTGGTTAAGGAAGGTCAGCTGAAGTCAATGACCAGCAGCGCCTAAGGATTTGATGAGCCAGCAGCGGCAGATGGTCCTATGGTCTGGATCGTGGTAGTTCAGCTTGCCCGAGGTGAACTCACAAGAACCAACGCCCTATTCAGTGATGGACATAGCGTCTAGTCCCCTGAACAAGGGAAGCTGAATTGAACCAACGTGTACCTCAGGATTTTCGCAATCACGTGCCGTGACAATGTGACATGTGCCAAAATCTTCCAAGGATGTGTCCTTGCCGATTCTTTCGTCTCCAAGTGCTCGTTCCATGCATGCTTCCATGAGCGTTTCACGAGCTGTGCATTTGAAACATCAAGGTGGAGGCAACCTTTGAGGGACATGGGGTTCCAGCTTCAGATGCCCAGCAAACACTTTTGATTCATTCCAAACTCTGTCACTAATTACAAGAGATTGGCCATGTGATGATCCATGTGTTTGTCGCGATTAATCCATCACCTTTGATGCAACAGCTCCACCGAAGTGGCATTTGACCTTCTCACACCCTCAAAGGTGGGAGACGGTCGTTGGACGTCAAACATGACCGAGCCAGCGAGCCAGCCATTCGATTCATCCGGAAGACCGGAGAGACCCTCATTGACTGACTCAAGAAATCGGAAGTGTTCATGGATTCTACTCCCAAGTACCACGGCTAGGAATGGAAATCTATGGGGCATACTCTCATGTGGTGACCAAATCAGATGAACCTGCATTGATTCTTCAGCTGTGCGATGCCACTGGCCTGTCTAGAATGCAGACGATACCTTGAAGGGATGGCCCGACCAATCTGGACCTGAAGACAAACAAGATTCAACAAGATCATTGAGTTCTTTGGATGAAAATATGGATATGCATTCTATACAGTATATGTATATATGAATATATATATATATGATCCGTATATTTTGGTATAATATATATATATTTGCTATAATATAAATATAAGTGATAAGTTGGTGATAGGTGTATAGTTATGTTATAGTGTGTTTGTACAAAAATATTTGGACAGCATAGACCAACTGGACCTCCAGACCTCCAGGGGTCCATGTGCGAACTCTCGTCGTTTGGACGCCGAGAGGACTTCTGGGCCATTTCCTTCAATTTTGAAATACCAAAAAGCACAGAGCTTCTCCTCGTAGCATCGGCCTGCTTCAAGTAAACACACAGTTGATTGGGCACAGCCTATCAGATGGTTTCCGGAGATTCTGGGAGGAAGAGCTCTGTATGTGATTGATTCCTAAGCAAACGAGCGGCACTCTCCGGAGTGGTACAGAGGAGCCCGACAAAAATCCTAGTTTGAGTTGTAGAATCGTTGCACAAACTGCATGTCCTGGGCTTGAAGTGCAAGTGAACTGCTCGGGCCTTTGCCCAGAAGCAGACATGACATAATTGGGCAACAATGTTGATGTTGCAAAACATGAATAAACTGGTTTTGTCCCTATTTATCGCGACAGAAGCCAGGTCGCGCAGCTGTGCATCAACGAGTCAACTAGCGGCAGAAGCCGAAACCGTTGTCACTCGGAGCAGGACAAAAGACAAAATTGCCGCAGAGCTTGGCACTGCTTCTTCGCACCTAACGCCTTTGGGGACTTATAATTAATTAGGAGACGATCCACTCAAAATAGGGCAAGACTGTAGACATGCATCCTAAAGTGATGTTTCCTTCCCAAGCAAGATTTAGGATCCAACGCCAGATGTGTGGTGAAGACACCTTTGAGCAAGTGCTTCCCTGAAAGTAGTCCAGAATTGACACGGCAAGAAAGACTATCAAATGCTCTGAATGCTTGGGAGCTCCATTTTTGGAGACGCTGTCAGTTCATCCTATCAACTATCAACATCTATCAACTCAGAACACCCGGCGTCGGCGCCACAGTACTGCTCCTGTGTCGACATGCTGACATGCCCTCTTCACAGGCGCCCTTGGGAGGTGCAGCTGCAGCATCGCAGGCCCGGAGATGTCCTGATGGCCTGCTAATGCAGGCCTTGCCAGGGGCTCCCCGAAGGCTGTCCACCAGGGGCCTCTTCCAAGGGTGTGGGGATCGTCCCACGTGTTGGAGGGAAACCCTTTTGGAGCGCTGAAACACCTTGTTTGGCATCAGGTAGAGCATGCGAAGAACACCGTACATGCTCGTACTCAGTCTGGCTATGTTTGGCTGGGACATTCATTCACTGGTTTTTGACAGGACTTTTAATCGATGGGATATCATGGGATGATTTTGTTCTAGGTCAAGAAATGTTCTATGGAAATCTGGTCTTGTTTTCTCATGAACCATCTCCCGAAAGAAGCGGCCCTCGCGAAGTTCGCCGCCCTCTTGAAAGCACCCCGAGTGGGCACAGGAGGAATCCCTAGCTTTGAGCAAGCCAATGACCGGTGCGCAGCTGGCTGCGGCGGAGGCACCGGCAATTCGGGATTTGTTTTTCTCTCGAATCTCAAGAGAACCTCCATTTTGGTTTTCCATGGGCTTGGCCAAAGCACTGTATAGAAAAACATTTGCAGCAGGATTGGCTGCAACGTCAGGAGGTGTCTTTTTGCAAGGATATAATGAGTATCCCTAAGACGCTGCGGAGAATCTTTGGGCCACATGCAGCTTTAGACTGACTCATTGAGGTATCACCCCGCTCAGGATTCCAGTCCACAAGCAAGTCATTGACATCCTATTTTGCATTCCCGACCCCTGTCCTTCCACTCCACTGGGAATCCTCTTCCCTTTGGGGACCAAACATATTCAACATGAGTCGCAGAGACCACCAAACCCGAAAGGCGCCGAACGCACGGGGAGTCGAAGGCGCCGAGTTCTGGCGTCGGTCAGCTAGGAGCAAGAACGCTACTAGGGGCTCCTGGCATCGCTACTAGGAACAAGTGCCTTACTAGTAGTAACAAGAAGCTACTAGGAGCAAAGGGCATCGCTACTAGGAGCAAGGACGCTATTAGGGGCTCCTGGCATCGCAGGTCAATGGCGCCGGTGGCATGCACCGAGTGATCCCCACCCCAGGAGACGTGACCCGGAGATGAGACGACGAGCCCGGGGTCCGGAGACACGCGGTCCGGGGAGGCACTTATTTTGGAGCAAAGGATCTGGGAACGCGGGAAGATGATGGAACATGCCTCCAAGGAGTTTTTGCCAACAGGAGTTAATAGACACTCATCAATAGTGACTAGAAAAAGCCATGGCTCGTTTTGTCACCATGACACAATCTCATGATATCGCATGTCCAGGGATTGGCTTTTGAAACATCCAGCTTTTGCTTAGAACAAGGTTGTTATGGAGGTGTGAGCCTAGCATCTGTTCTTCTTGGTGTAATGTAGAGTGAGTGAGATAGTACTGTAGAATGTTATTTGTTCATGTGGTCAATGATGACACTGCTGGCTTCAGAAGGTTTTGGAATGTTTTGGACAGTAGTTGGTACATCAGGACTTTTTGTTTCTGCATGACAGCTTGCTCAAATTGGTAAAGAACTGGCAGGCCGCAGGCCTCACTGTGCAGATTTGTTGGGTTCAAAGAGACACAGAAGATTGAAAGGCAAGGTTGAAAAAAAACGCCGACTTTGGATGCTCGACGAAGGTGGTTCTCATGGTTCTCCATACCACATGGACTGTGGTCCCCTTGGTTTCACCTGAAATCCTTCCAGGGAATCTCATTGGCGGGCTCATGGGAAGAGGAGGCGCCCTGGCGGGTTTGGTGGCGGGAAGTTGTGGGTGATTGGATGAACCGGCGTTGGTCTATATTTATGTTGTGCCTAATTCCAAGGAGTTGCTTGTGTCTTATGTCAAACATTGTCAGACTATACTGTGGTAATCTGTGGTATGTATATTATATTGGCAACAACGTTTCATTCTACTCGGCATTGGAGTTGATTTTTGTCCGGTGCCCATGCATTTGCATGTCATATATTGCCTTTCAAGTGACATGAATTCAACCAGCAACTCACCACAATACTTGTGTCATAGTTTGTGTCATATATTCTGGCATGTATTCAGTGTCAAGTTTGGGGCTCATGCCCCGACCAGCCGCCACGTCCCATGTTTCCGGCCGTAACAACGCGCGAAAGCGCCAGGTGCAACGATCACCGCCATCCGGAAGAATCACCCAGGCGTCACCATTAAGGTGCGCTCTTGAGCGAGGATTTGTTGGGCAGGATTTGCAGATGGATTCACTCTGGTATGAAAGAAGGTTGAGAAAGAAGTTGTTCTTTCTTTCATTTGTTTGGACATCATAGAATGCCACGTGTTGGGGGTCTTTTGAGAACAGGAAGGAAGCCAGAAAAGCAAGAAGCTTGGAATATTCTTGAATGATTCTTTCGATCCAGGAGGATTTCTCTCCTCATCATGGTCAACACATGTCAACACTAGTAGCGATGCCAGGAGCCCCTAGTAGCTTCTTGTTCCGACTGGTAGTAGTAAGGCCAGGAGCCCCTAGTAGCGTCATGTAGCGTCCTTGCTCCTAGTAGTTTGGCCAGGAGCCCCTAGTAGCGTCCTTGCTCCTAGTAGCGATGCCCTTGTTACTAGTAGCTTCCTTTTTTGTACAGCGGACAGGTGAACCAGCCACAGGGCAACGCCATGGCGGAGATCATCATCACTGGGGATCCCAAGATGGTGCCTTCCGCGGAGGCGGCAGCGTTCAGTGTTCACCGTTGCAGTTGGGTGTGAACCTTTGGAAGATGTTGGAAGAGGGCATCAGGATTCACAAGGCATGTTGGTTTCCTCGGACCAACATCGTTTTGCATAGATTGGACTGGACGATCTTCAACTGGACACTCTTCACCACTTGCGTAACATGGACTGGCCAGCCGAAGGTGACTTGTTGGAGTCCACTCCCTTAGAGCCTTCGAGAGCAGTCAAACAGGGTGGTTGGAGTGTCATGCTCCATTCTGAAGTGGGGACTTCAGATCATGGTCTTTGAGCAGTGTGAAAAAGCGCGGTTTGATGCAGTGTGGATTGAGGGAAGAAACACCTGAGATGTATTGGAATCGAATCGATTTGTATTGTACATTGTACATTCTACTTAATGAAGGCCTTTGTGGAGCACTGTCAAATTCGGGGTTCCTGTGCTCGTCGGCAGACATGCCAGGTGGCTGTTTGCGAAGTTTGGACGCCCGAGTTTTGGGCACCTGCCGACTGAGTGCGTAAAGCGCAAGTAGTTGGCAGCTGTGTATCATCAGATTGAGCCATCTACTTGCCAGATTCTCCAACCAAGTCAGTTGATATACCAGATGTATCAAACCAAATTACGGTTTTTGTTCGGGAGAGTTTTGAGTGGGTGGGGAGGCATCCAAAATCTATGTTCATGCAAATGAACCCGCAGTTTTGCTTCGACGTCTTCAAGACATGCCAGTTCTTGGAGTAAGTAAGATGCAGAGTTGATATATATATATATAATTATTATATATATATATATATATATGGTCTCCTGCATTTTCCTTGTATGTCGTTGTCTTTGTTGGAGTGGGACAAGCCACCCAACCCCCCCTCAATAATCCTTCACGACCTGCAAGGACTGACTGTTCATAGGCCATCATAGATATCAGAGATGTACGCCCTCCATGTCAGTGTTTTTCTGTCCGAAAAAACGACGAAGACAATTTTGTCCTTTCCACGAGAAGTAGTTAGAAGATGTTAGAAGTAATCTGCGCACCTAAGAGCCTGCGGACCAGGCCCTGATGAGTAGCCCCAGCAAGGGTGCGCCGGTGATGGGCGGCAGAGGTGCCACTCGCTTGTGTGATGCCGGACAGGACCCAAAATGACCCGAACATAAGACTTGGACATGGAAAGCATCATGAAGTTGTTGCCATTTTGAATGATTCATGACTCTTCAGGCTGGACGGACACCGCTTCTCTTGAAGCAGTCGCTCTTCAACAGCGAAATCCGTGGTAGAACCAACCGACCTGGGCCGTGGACTCGTGGATCCTGGCTAAACATTTGGATGCCTTAATACAAACATATCTTTAAATGGAGGGCCCTCCTGTTCAGGAACTCCGGAAAACAGCCCAAAGCCAAAGCCAGAGTGTGTACCTCGCCAGGCGTGCCGCAAGCGGTACAGCCCCGGTAGATCGTGACGGACTACAAGAGGCATCTGATGACTACAAAGCACTGAGATCCCTCAAACCCATTGATGTGTTGATCTCAAGATTAATGATTAATGGGCATGTTGGTTGATCAACTTATTCATTGTCATGGCTGATGACGTCACCTACAAGTAAAAGCCACTCAGGAAGGTTGGAAAGATATGATATAATATTATAAATGTATCACATCCTTTCCAATGAATGTCAGATGCTAAGTCTGTCAACAAAAGGTGAAACTGTTGATTTCTCGATTGCACTCTGCCAGTCTGTTGCCTTGCAGAGCTGACCCTGGCACTCACACTTGTGGGAGGCGACGATCAAGCAGACGTGGGAGAGGGAGATGAGCGCTGGCGGAGGCTGCGCTCGCTGCGATCCAATCAACACGATCCAAAACCAAGGTGCGCTTTAGGACGCTACAACAGTGCGCTTCGGTGAAAAGGAAGAGTGAACAGCATTGAACAACCCTTAAGTTCCATTACAAATCATTACAACATGTTTTGGTTGAAGGTTACTTTATGACTTTGCTTGGTATGGAGCCCGTTGTATTCGGTCGTTTTGTAGCCAGGACCCCTAGCAGCCCCAGTACATGCTGGTTCATTAGAGCAAAGCGCCAGGTAGTAGCACAAATCCTTGCATGAAAGGCTTGACCTTTCAAAGGGTCACAAATGGTCAATGGACTGTTCAAAGTAACCCAGAGGAACAGACATGATTGCGTGAATTTCCTGCAGAGCGGCCTTGCCGGGCATAGCAGGTCTGTCGCGCGACAGCGCACATGACACGTCAACTCCGTTTCACTGCCACGAAAGAGGAAGCTTCACAGCCGACCGCAGGACATGCCGCAGCTTAATTAAAAGGTCGCAGCGCATGCGGAAAAGATCAAGGCATGTTTATGTATGGACTGGTAGAGACCATGCAGAACATGATTTTGAATCACTTCGATCAAGACTCAATACTTTATACGAAATAGTATATACAATAGTTCGGACAAAAGGCAGATGTTTGACCCCTAAACAGCACGTGACTTCAGAGTCGATGACATCAATACAAGGTTGAGTGATGTTGAGTTCCTACTCCCTACTTAGACGTAGTTTGCCAGATATATTTAGATTCTCATCTAGAATGGTCCAACTGGGTTGGTGCATGTTCTTCTAGATGACCTCTCCTCTTGCCAATCAAAACCACCGGTCATCCGAGGCTTCCGGGCAATAAGCTCCTGTCCTTTGCGGACGTGTGTAGTGAGCCAGGGCACCGGAGGGCTTCCGGGATCATGGACGTCGTGGGTGTGTGGGCGATTCGCCCAAGCCTCCCGAGCCAACTTGGTGTGTTCTTGGCAATGCTTTCAAAGGAATTCAACATGCACTTTGGTTTTCTTGCAGCTGGAAAGTGAGAAGAGCCGATCGACTTTTCTATGTTTGGGCCATCGTGCTGGGCCCCCTTTTTTCGGGACATGGACGGCAGACCTTCCGGCTCATCGGGGCCCCTTCCATGGATGACTCCATGAGGGCTAGTTCTGTTGATTACTAAAGCCTGCCTTGTAGCCTGTTGAATGGTTATACATCTCCAGGCGTCTCGAAGGTTTATGTAATCAACAGTCAACAGGCAACACGAGAATGTGCTCTGACTTCTTTGAAAGGGAACCTCAGAAGCATTGTTCTTTATGATCTTGACTCACCTCAATATCCAGTTTCATATGTTTTGATTAGGGTGATTCAAGGTGATGTTTACTTTCCCTGTGGGTAAACCCCCTTCACGGGGAAGATGTTTTCCTTCTATCATTCCTCAAGCAGCTTGCCACGGTCACCCAGGTGCCGCGGAGCCGGGACCGAAGAAGTCAAGCGGAAAGCGACCGGCAGCGGAAGGCCCCAGGCGGGAGCGATCCGTCCGCCGCGCCGCGCTTTCGGTGGAGGCACGGGGTGGAACAGACATATATATTGCTAAAACGGCAAGGGTGGCATTCAAGCCCAAACCAACAAAACCTCAAGTCAAAACAAAAGTAACTCTACAATACTCCACAGAACTCCACATACAATCTTTGCTGCTGCAAAATCAGCTCTTGTTCCAACCCCCTTGTCATTTTTGCGGCCTTGTCAATCCGCAACCAATAACATGTCCAACTTTGGCGCATTTGATCGTTTCACACTGAAAAAGCAAGGACCACTGTTCTGACGATTGTGGCTGCAGTGTATACGCAATTTGTTGTTTTGTTTAGAGGATCATCATGCACTTGAAGCAACATCGCCTGGCCGGTTTCCGGGCATTTACGAGGCAAAGCGCAAAGCTAGCACTGGAAAGCAGGTGCAACCGGAATCTCTCCAGGACGAATAAGAGATCGACTGCCCATATAATACGAGTTTGGACGCTGATATGACATCCTGTGACAATCTGATCATTGCATACTATATTGGCATCAAGTCTCGTTTCTTCCACCGCCTCAGTCAGATGTTGCTTTTAAATGCTTTTAAGCAGCGCAAGCAGCTGCTTCCAAGCGCCCCCTTTTCTTCCGTTGAGCAGGTTCCGCCCTCGCGCCAGGCGGAGCGAGAAGGTTCCGCCTTCAACAACAGCGTCTTTCTCTCGTCCGAGTCCCCTGGGGTTGACGATTTCTTCGTCCAAAGGGTGTTGTCGTTGAGCCTGAGAGTCCGTGGAGGGTAGAGAACACGGGGACATGACTTCGGATTTGAGCAATTATGGTTGGTCATTGGTTCTGACAAGGTTTTGACCTTTGTTTGGTAATTCTATGAAATTCTATGGATGTGGATGATAATGACTGGCTAGCTGGGACATTTTATGAGGGTCATGGTTGGATATACCCAGTGATAAATCACATATCGCTGCATGTTGTTGGTGGCTGCCAGTTGGACTCGTCTCGGAGGGTTTTGGGGATGGAGATCAGGTCAGCTGCCTCCAATCCACCGGAGGCTGAGACGGCCAAGGTTCCGCTCGCGCGGTGTGGGGCGGTGTTGTGCGCACCAGTGGACCATCCTGGGGTATGAACTGTGAAAGGCACCTAAGGTTTACCGAAAGGATGCATCTCCTACAGACTGCCTTTATTCGCCAGCAGATGTCGGAAGAGAAGTAAGTTTCACTTTGGTTTTTACAGCTTGCTTTCTTCAAGTTCGGAGGTTAGTTTCATTGGCCCTTCTTCCCCTTGTTCCCTTTGTTTCTTTGTCAAGCAACTCGAAAAAGAACAAAAAAAGTCACCGAGTCGTCCGGAAAAACGCATTCATTGAAACTTCAGCGGACGGTTTGTAGAATGCTGTACAAGTACAGACCAGCAGACGGACAATAAGGACCGTCCATGTCTTTTTTGGTGCCATTCAGGCTGCATTCAGGCCAGTGAAGAAGAACTTAAGGTCTTAAGGTCTCAGGACAAGTGGTTGATGGATGTTGATGGCGTTGTGTTGATGTTGTGGCTGGTACATGCTTCAATTGGATTAACCAATGCCTTCACCAATTCAAGGGAGAAACGTGAGTTGTTCGAAGACGTGTTGACTATTGATTGCTTCAATTTGAGCGTTCTCTCGACCTACATCCGAAGCTCCCAGCAGGTAGCAGTGGACTTTGATTCTGAACCACCTCTTCTTGAATAAATTCTGAAGTGCAAGCCTCGGACAGGCCACGGGAGGCAAGTTGACGTTTTCTTGAAGACCAAGTGTGAAGCTATTGCTGTGGCTCTAGCTCAACAACTTTCTTAGATCGTGAGTCACAAACAACCAATTGCTGGATCAATGAATCCACGATGATCCCTGCAGACGTTTGTCATGGCACCTGCTTCGAAAGCCAAGGATAATTCATCCAGTCGAGTGATGTGGGGCCGCCTTCTCACTGGTTTTCCCAGGAGATTCCGCGTTTGTGGTCCATCCTTCTGAAGCAAGAAGGTATGGCCGACATGATCAAAGACCTTGAGCTCGCTAAGCTGGTTCGCGAGCCTTGTTTTGCTAAGGGGTATCCTTTCGCGACCCCGCAGGAAAAAAGGAAAAAACAAAAAAAACGATTTTTACCGTTTTTACCGCGGATACGGTAGAAGAAAAAGGAGCGCGCCCCCGGCAAAAACGATAAACACATAAAATGTTTGATTTTTACCGTTTTTACCGCGGATATTCCCGGTAAAAACGGTAAACAAATAAAATTTTCGATTTTTCCGTTTTTACCGCGGATATCGTAGAGAAAAAGGGGCGCCCCCCCCGGTAAAAACGGAAAAAAAATACATTTTTACCGCGGATATGACATTTAAACATGGAGCGCCCCCCAGTAAAAAATATTAAAAACAAAGATTCTTACCGTTTTTGCCACGGAGATGGTAGAAAAGAAAAGGACAAGTCCACCTACAAAAACGGATAATAACACAACTTTGATTTTTAACGATATGGTAGAAGCAAAAAGAGCAAGCGACTCTTCATTAAAAACTGTAAACAACAAAAGTAGTAATTTTCACTTTGGACCGTTTTTTTTACCGCGAGAATGCCTCGGGACCAGGTCTCAAGCTAGAAGACCTCTGTCAACAAAAAGGTTTAATGTTACAGCCCGGGTATCTTCCTATAACCAGGTGGGGTTCACTCCTCCTATCATATAGGAGCGTGTGCCCTTTTCGACAAGAGGAGTTTGGTGATTGATCAAAATTTCATGACTTTTAACTTTTAACTTTTGCAGGGCAATGAAAGCCTACATCACTTGGATGGAAAACTTTCGATTTTTACCTACCGCGGATATGGCAGAAGAAACAGCGGTGACCCTCCGTGAAAAACTGAAAAAAAAACATAGACCCGTTTGCCCCCCTCGATCAAAACGGTACAAAAAGAACAACAATTAATTTTACCGCTTTGATCGCGGATATGGTATTGAAAAAGGAAGCGCCCCCCGGTAAAAACGGTAAAAAAGAATCGATGTTTGCCGTTTTTACCGCGGATATGGTAAAAGAAAAAGGAGCGCCCCCCGGTAAAAACGATAAACACATAAAATGTTTGATTTTTACCGTTTTTACCGCGGA